GAAATCTCTAATTACTTACTAGGCAGTAAAAAAAGTAAAACAATAATAATAAAAATATATATATATATACATAAATATATATATATATATATATATATACGTGTATATGTATGTTTGGGAAAGTAGTTAGTTAAATGTGGAAAATCAGAATAATTTTTTAAATATTATTCTTTATGTAACCATCATACATGACATGTCTGTCAATTTTAGTGAGAGAAAATTAAGCTGTGGGGGTTCTTCTGTGTCTTTCTGGATTTAAGCTGAGATGGAAAAAACAAACAAACAAACAAACAAAAACAATAAAACAAAACCAAGCAATAGCGAAGCAAAACCAAGCAACCAGTATATTATATACATATTGCTCTGTGATAATTCCTGGTGCCTTCTTCTGGCATCTGCTTGATTACACCAGCATTACATTTGAACCATGCAATTAAATGGAGATATGTGTTTATTAGAGCAGTTCATGTGATTTTACTTCCTTTTATATCTGCTTAGAGGAACCACTCGGTTTATTTCAGCTGCCTTAGTTTTACTGCCACTAATGCAAGTCTCTGCATTCTGTATCTATTCACAATGATTTAAGATGCTAAGATTTTGAACTACCTTGTTGCTTAACTATGAATGTTCTTTTGACCCAGTGACTTAGGAGTTCTGTCTGTGAGAATGTAGCTGTAATAATAGATGCTGCTTACATTGGGGTGAGGAGGAAAGGAGAAATTGTCCCTGCAGAGATGCCTTGCTATTTTAAGTATGTCCATTCAAGGTACAGCTGATCATGTAGGTCAGATTGAATCCATGGGATGGTTTTTTTTTTTTTTTTTGTTTTGTGTTTTTTTAGTTGTTTTTTTTTTTTTTGGTCTTGCTAGTCTTTTACACTGATAAGAAGAAAAATTGGTGTTGAATGTCACTGGGACTTGGCCACAGCTTTGCAGCTGTGTTCAGAAAGGAAGAGGGAATTCAAGACAGTTGCTCAAAACTCTTGTTTTCACATGTTCTGTGAAGAGGTGCTGTTAGGAAGAAAACTGGAAGAAATGCTAACAAAATCAGTAAGGAAGAAAGTATAATAATGCCTGATAGCTATATAATGGGGAAAAGGTAGTTGGCTCAAAGAAAGATAAACTGAGCATGTGTTGTTTGTGCATTCCTTCAAGCTGTTGCAGAACATTTTAAGCACCAATGGAGATTAGACATTTAATTTTTTTTCTTACAAAGTTAATAGAACTAAACAGGAAGAAAGACGACTATAAGCAACTCTTCCTAAAGGTAATAAATAGAAAGCCTCATAGAAAGTTTTAGAGAGCCATAATGGAAGCTCTGACTTCTGATGCACTGCCAGGCTTTTAAAAGGGCTGCGAGCTCAACTGTTCTCGTTGAGTGTTAGTGCTTAATGTGCTGGGACTGCCTGCACTTATGGAGAAGGGTGCTTGAGTCATTGAAGCAGAATGTGGGAGGTCGGAGTTACACTTTCTCCATTGTGTGCCTCAGCCTTGGTTTGATTCAAAACACTCTGGGTTGCAGGAGGTGCCCATGTTCGACCCCAGGGGAAACTGCTTGTTCAGAATAATGTTTACTTCATTTTGACACTTTCAGTTCTGGAACGGGTGCATCTATGTGTTCTTGTTTGTAACAAATGTCAAATAGAAACCTTGCGTTCTCATTTTTTCGCACTTACATATCTTCCCCAGCCCTGTATGCAGATCCAGTGTCTAAAGGAGAGTATACTAAAATACTCTTAGAGACCTACGTGCTGAGCATTTTACTTTCCTTCAGAAGGAAGGTGGATTTGTATGCTATGGTAAATGGTAAAAATATGTCCTTGCAAAAGACCCCAAATTGTGCAAATTCTTGTACACAGTAGCCTAGTTCTTTTGGTGTTGTGCGAGGGACCGTAATTTGCTTAGATACAGGCAGAACACACATCTTAAAGACAAAACAGTCAGAAGGTTTCCTGGTTTTATTTAACTGGATTTTTGTACTGTCACCAAAATTGCAATTAAATTTCCAAATGTTAGTGCATGCAATGCTATCTTAAGTGGAGCAGGTGAATATTGAACTTGCTGTTATATCATCATGCATAGTAGGACTGAGTAGTTCAAATTTGCTTAAAAGCCTAAGTTTTTCTCCTTATCTAAGTAATATTGTTCTAAAGGTTATATTTGAGTTGACTTCAAGAAATTATTTCAGCTTGTGTCATTTGTTATTTGAGATTGGGAAACGGGGGAAGGTGAAGCGTTTTGTTTCACTATAGATAGAAATCTGCTGTGTACTGATTAAAATTAATTCTCAGTAATGGTAGCTAAGGCAGATAAGGGGAAAGAAGTGAAGATTTATGATTATTTTTGTTTCTCAGGTTGTTACTTTAGATGGTAGCTGTCTCATAAGAGACCGCAGAAGCAGATTATTTTCTGAAGCTTCACTGATGTGTCTGAATGTCTTTGATAATCCATGATTTTAATGATGAAAATACATCTTTAAGTTGTTTGAATGTTGAATATTCAAGTATGATTATTTTCAGTTTTATCCTGTAGCAGGACAGTGCATTATGTAACATTTTGGAATATTTATTGGGAGAATTAGGGGGATTTGTATTTGAAGTTTATACAATTCTGAAGCAAATCTCAGGTTAGTACTGAAGGAACTAGACTGCACAGAGCCTATTAACACTCTTGGGAAATTGTGGTTTGTTTCTTAAAGTTCAAGTTAATTCACATTCAAATTAACTGCTAAGAAATGCGATTTACTTGAGGTGAGCATTATAGCTAATAACAGAATGTGAAAAAGAATTCTGCCCATCATTATTTTGTATTTAAGAGAAAGCGTTTGAATCCATATTAGTTTAGTGGAAGCTTGTTAAGAAGGTGATTCTCCTGCTCTGTTGTTGATGGCTGAAAGAAGAGTGTCTTTTAAACAGATCTGTAACAGTACCACAGCTGACTTGGATGATTCTGATCTTTTCTTTGAAACAAAAAGAAAGTACAACACAAATTCATCTGTGTAGCACTATTCTTGCTTTCACTTGTGAATTGTATCACCTCTCAGTTATTTCAGGCACAAAATTCCATAAGGCTTCAGTGGATTATAGCAAATCATTTGATTTGTGGGAGAAGAAAAAGAAACAAATCCATTCTTATCTTAACCTAAGTGAATTTAGCCTTTGTTCTATGGAAATTGTAGCTCTCGGTCAGTCCCCATTAACGCAGTTGTGACTTCACCCTCTCACTCATGCAAACAGCCATTTGTTCACAACTATTTTAGTATCTCTATCTGACAGAGAGATAACATCTCTTTTTCTTTCTAAAAATTACACAGAACCAATGAGAATGCACAGAATATTTTCCCTTTTGTCAGTTTTTTGACAACTGGGAATGTATCCTGTATGATTGCTTCTAATCTGTTTTTCTGCTCTTTGATGATTTTAGCATTGCTTCACGCTGTTCCTAAGCAGGACTCCTGGAACGCTGGTGAAAGAAGCTTGTTCTGTGAATATAAGTGGATTGTTTATATTGAAGCCATTATTCTAGTTGTGGTTTTGTTACTTGTATGATGTGGCAGTTTGTCCAGTCGTGTACCAGCATGTAATTCTACAGTACTGTGCTTAAAAAAAATAAAACCTAGTGTAGTTTTAGAGACACAGTAACTATTTAAGGCTGTAGCAATTTTTCTGCACAAGATGTTGTAGCTCTTCACTTACAGGGACATTTGTTTGATATAAAGAATTGATCTTCACCTTTATTTCTGGATTACACATGATTTAAGCTATCAAAGCCAAGGTCTTCCTTAAAGCAAGTGTCTGATGATGAGCTATAAGGGCATTTTGGTTTATGGATATATAATGACTTACAAAAAGGTGACTTGCCTTTAAAATTGTTTTATACTGAATGAAGTTACTTTAAGCTGTGCAGCAGTGCTGACAAACTTGTATTTAACTGCTCTGGTTACAGAGAATGCACTTATTGTTGGGACAGCAAAATTAAATTTTATGGCAGCAGTGCGTTTTGGTTTGTAGAAGGAGAGATGAAGTGAAGGTGAGGGAAAGAGAGGAGCTGTCAGTAGGAGTGTTTGAGGCACACAGTGCCTTTCTTGACTCCTCTTCTCTACTTCTTGAGAGCTCTAGGCCTCCCTCTGCAGAAGGTATCTTCTGCTCAGATTCTTCAGCTACTCTAGGTTCTCTTCTTGCCTATTGTGCTCTCCTTCCACTATGAAGGAGACTTTTCTTTCTGTGAAGCAATGGTTGTTCTAGACAAACCACAAGCTGTGAAGAGCTTACTTGATGCAGGGGAGAGTTTTCCATGGTGGTTAAGTGCTTTGGCAAGTGCTTGAATCTTACGTTGACTCTCTCATCAGTTTTCCCTTCAATCCCAGTGTGTTGTAAGTATTTGGGCAGGTAGATTGACTGCCAGCAGTCTATTTAATTTTTGCTTGTGTATTTCAATAAAATGGTTTTCATGAAGGAAATGGATTTGTTTAATTATTCCATATTACTTGTGTTCAGGCCTCGAAGGAAGTTGGTTAAAATAGAAATTATTACATAGATAAGCCTTTCTGTGCTTTTGTTTTGCAATATTTGTTATGTTGGCTTGTTCAATTTCACGCAACGAACATCAGACACTTCACTCAGTTATCATCTGCATCACTGCAACACTTGGGTAGAGATGCTGTGACTAAATTAGTAGTTATGCACCCCCGCGGTATCAGGAAGCTGTTTGGTACTGGCTTCCAGAACAGGAGGGACAACAGCAGTATTTGGCACCAGCATCACTGCTTGACCCCTATAGGAAGCTCTGCTAGGTAGTTTGAATACATTTCAGGTGTTACGTGTATTTCAGCAATGTGGTTGCACCTCATCTAAAATTTTGATGGGGTGACACTTGATCAGGCTGATTTGTCTTTCTGGAGTTGAATTCTGTGGTTGTAGTTCATTGTGTTTGTGACTATCTAAATACTGAGCTAAATGCTATTGAGTTGTAATGGCTTTGCTGTCTGTTTAAATATGACAGGTAGAGGATGATGATGATACTGAATCACGAGAGGAGGAAGAGGAAGTGAAAAACTACTCAAGGAGGAAGATTGTTTCAAACTGGAACCGCTATGAGGATGCAGAAAAAGGGGGACAGGGAGAATGTGGAGAATCACAGAGAGGAACAGACTTCAGTGTTTTACTTAGTTCAGCAGGTAAGCGTTTCGTACTCCATATAAAATTCTTTAGTTTTGCATCTTGAAATATTGCTGTTTTTCTGGCTCTCCTCCCTTGATGATGAAAAAGGAGCTTAGAATACTGGGTAAATCTGCCACTGATCGATTCAGAAGTCTCCATGGGCTACAATGAGTCAAGTACACAGGGAGTAAAAGAGTGCTGCTGTATTTATAGCCTTGTTGTGAAACTATATGGGTCTGAGCACATGCAGAATGCAGTTATTTTGAGCTGCTTCTTGCTCACAGTGAATTCTTAGTGATGTCAGCTATTAGGTTGTTTTCCAGAAAACAAAAAAGGCTACCACAGAGACTAAAAACAACAGAGCAGTCAAACAGCTGTTTGCTGTTGTATGTTTTGACAAGGATTTGTTATCAGCGCTCTACAGATGTGTGCTTGAATAGCAAGTATTAATCTCTTTGATTAAAAAAAAAAAAAGATCAATTGTTTTCTGCTTTTCAAAGGAGATAATAGACTAAAGTGGTGAAGGTACAGGCTGTACTGGATCATATTTATTTATTTTTAGCAATACATGTGTAGCACATGTACAATTTTGGGCAATTGCACAAAATGCAGTTTCCTAAAATTATTTTAGAAACCCTTCATGTGTCATTGTGTTAGAAGACTGTTCAGCAAAAAGCTACAGAGAGCGTTTGACCTTTTTTGTTTGCTTTTTCTTTCTTCTTTTTCTTGGTACAACTTAGACCTGAGAGATTTCAGAGTTTCCACATAACTTGGATTTTTCATTCACAGGTTACAGGGAAAAATTAATACTTCCCTGCATTAAATAAATAAGGTTCAGAGGTTTCCTTCTGTGTGTCAGAATCAATTTCTGAAGCTCAATTTTTGCATGAGTGTTGCAGAACTGGGCCTAAATCACTGGTTTTAATAGTACGATTGTGGCATGTATATTGCTCTCTCTGGATGGCGTGTTGCACGTTAAGGAGAGTGAGAGTCAAGAGATCTGGTACGGACCTCTGTGTTGGATGAGTAAGATAGCCTTGAGAGGAAAGATATTACAACTCAAAACTGTTAAGAGAGCTGCTGTGAGCTGCATAGCTGCGTGGTGCCATGCATGGTACTTTGGAACTGAGAATATAACAAAGTACTGTTTACTTGTAGTAACTTGCATTTCTGGTAATGAAGGTCCAACACAATTACCACCAGTGCATTTATTTGACTTTCTGTTCTTTGGATGCCAAAAGTTGAGATCTTGCTAGTGGTCTTATCTTTTAATACTAAATCTTTCTTTCGGAATGTATTTTACCTTCTTTTAGGTAGACGTGTTTTGAGGGAGTTGTATTGTGTCCCTTCTTAATGTTAATACAAATTGATAATTAACAGCAGGGAAACATAGCACTTGCTTTAAGGGGGAGAAGAGGAAAGTGCCTTCATGTAGCAGTAAAACAGATGTTTTGGAGTTGCATAAAAAGGGATGAACATCATGTGTAGTTCAACTCAGCTCAATTGTGCATTTGATTTCAAAAGTGCTCCAGGTTTTAGCTGTTTTGAAGAAAATAGGATAATGACCTAGCGAGTATGATTGCTTTTTTAGTACACTATCCTTTTTATTATCCAATGATTTCTGCGTTGTTAAAGCTACAATTTCAGCAAGTTCCAGCGAATTAAAGATGTTGTGCTTTACAGAGTGATAAAAGTTTATTTGTAGCCAATTGGATGCAGAGAAACTGAGGGCATTAGAAACTTATGTTGCTGGTTTTATACCTGTTTTTAAAAAATGAGTTGATTTTCTGAGCACTAATGCTCCTCCTTAGCCAAGTTAATGATTTTAGCGGTGTCTGTCTGATCATATTTCTTAAACTCTTTTTAATTCCGATTTCTCATTATTTTGTTGTATATAATGTAAACAATATAGTCTTCAATGTGTCAGAACTTTCACATGATATGTTTTTAGTTACACTCGTCTAGAGATGTTTCTCTTATTTGTTCTTTGTGAGGTTAGGTATTTTTGCGAATTACTGAATAAACTTGAATTTTTATCTACTGAATAAAAACAAATCGTTTTGATTCTTTGAAAAGGTTTATGGTTAGGAAAGCACTGTTTCACAGCTGTACAGCCTTCAAACATGAAGTAAATAATATGTTCTTAAATGCGTGGTTTAAATCACAGATTTGTTTTTCTTTCAGTTAAGACTCATTTTGATATCTATACTTTGCAAAACTGATTTATTTTGCTTTAGTTTTCCTACTTCCAGTTGTTTCCTTTAAAAAAATATATATATCATTGTATTCTGGTGTGAAATGAGAACATCTTTCACCATACATGCATACTGAAGAAATGATTGTGATATAAATATGTTAACTGGACGAATATGAAGGCAAGATAACACTTGTAAGTAACACTTACAGGAAACAGTTGCAGAAATAGAAAGAGAACCGTGTGTTGAATATTCTTATATGCTTTTGAAGAGGAGTGTGAATTGAAAGAATGGTTACAAATATTTTTTTATTACTTAATTTTTCAAATGAGATGTCACTATTTTGGTCTGGTACAAATTTGATGAGTTCTCAGCAGTGAAAATCTGACAAATTTACTTGCGTTATTATACTTATGTTCTTATAATATTTGGAAAGTGAGCAGATCATGCATGTGGAAAATACATTTTAAAACAGTCTCCTTAGAATTAGAAATGGTTTTTTGTTTGCTATCTAAAATGAGCTAATGTAGGTAACTCTGCAAAGGTAGGTAGCATAAAGATATCGATAGATGAACAAAGCCAGCCTTCCCTGAAGTGGGAGGATGTGTACCTTTCTAAAATGAATACTTATGTAAAAGAATGTGAACTCTTGCTTTACAACATTTATTTTGTGGTTAACTCTTTGTCATTCTCAGTATGCCTGGATTACTAGATCTGTGTGTTCTTTCAGAATCATGGAATGTTTGAGTTGGAAGAGACCCCTAAAGGCCATCTAGTCCAACTCCCTTGCTCGCTACAATGAGCAGGGTCACCTACAGCTAGATCAGGTTGCTCACAGCTCCATCCATCCTGACCTTAAATATCTCCAAGGATAGGCATCCACCACCTCTCTAGGCAACCTGTGCCACTGCTTCACTGCTGTTACCATAAAGAACTTCTTTCTTATATCCAATCTTCAGTTTTAAACCATTTCCCCTTTCCCTATCACAGCAGACCCTGCTAAAGAGTCTGCCCCCTTCCTTCTTACAGCTCTCCTTAAGATATTTAAAGGCAGCTCTCAAGTCTCCCTGGAGCCTTATCTTCTCCAGCCCCAATTATCCCAGCCTGTCCTTGTAGGAAGGTGTTCCATCCCTTGGATCATTTTGGTAGCCCTCTGGATGCACTCCCACAAGTCCATTTCTCTCCTGTACTGAGAACATGTAGAATGACTTACGTTATATAATTTATGTGCATGTTCAAAAGATGTTAGGAAATGTATCTCCACTTCAGTTTTTCTAAGTTCAATACTCTGGGTCACTTATGGTTTTCAAATGCAGGAAAAATTAGCTGTCCCTGATGTCAGGAGATGCATCATTAAACAATTTTGACTTAATTATAGTATCTAGTGTAATAGTTCAAAGTGAAATAAATCAACAGAACAAGCTGGTTAGAATTTTTTGTAGTTCTTACTGACGGAGGAATAGGGCAGCATTAGAACTGATTACTTGATACTGTATTTTCTTCTGTGACAGTGAATGCTAAGATATCAATGCTTGCTTGTTAATTAAAAGGAAACCTTGGAAAAAAAAATACACTGAGTTACACAGGTGACATAGTGTACTGTATTATGCACAGATCTTTACCTTCTGTACTGCATTACTGTAGACCTGTTTTCAGTCTTTCTTACTTTTGGGTTCTAAGAAGTTTATTTCAATAACAATTTATTTACAACCTTCTTTGTACTTGTAAGTTTAAGTGTTAATTCTCTGTAGTCTGTTAATTTAAATACTACACATCTTCCTGTTGGCTGATGCAAAGATATTTCTATTGTATGAGACTTAAAATATGGCTCCAGCTTATGGGAAGGCTGTATTATATTTAGTTTAGTATTAGGAATGTCTTCAGCCTTCATGGTCTTCCTCCTGATATTTAATTAGACTTAATCTTTTTGCATGTTAGTCAGTTCAAACTGGTGCAAAGCAGCATGGTTACAAAACATTACTGATCTTGTAAAAATAATCTTTCAAGTCACATTTCAAGTTGCTTCATTTCTTTATCTGTTTTCTTGTGGAAATGCTGTGGACTTTTGTTCTTAAGGTTTCTTTGGTTTTGGGTTGGAATAATTTTATTTGTAGTGGTCTAAGAAGAAGCTTGCATCTCTGATTTTGGCTACTATTAGGACATTACTGTTCAGCATTTGAAAGTTGCTCAGTGAATCCAATTCAATTGCAAAAAACAGCTAGGGAAGTACTGGGGAAGGAATGGAACTGAAGTGTCATTTTTTTCTTATTTTTGAAAGCTTAGAAAGGTCTTGCAATTACTGTTAATAAACAGTAATACAATTGGTGCAGCCATTTAAGAATCCTTAGGTAATAGCTCAAAAACCTGTTCCTAAGCTCCAGCAGATTTTGCCACTAATTATGTACAAACTCTGAATTCTAGAAGCTTGTAGCTTTACCAGATCAGGTTTCATCTTTCCCAGAATGAGGCAAAGTGTACAACCCTCATCCAGCATGATATCAAGGTGCTAGGTTCTGCCATAATAATAGAAAAATGTTCCAGCCATTCTTTAACTTTTTTTTTTTTTATATTGGTATGAGAGGAGAGTGAGGAAAAGTTACCTGAAGCAAACCATTAGTATGGAAAATTTTGGGCTGAAAATGGTCTTAAGCAAGAGCTACTTGGTGGCTTTGCTAACAGCTGATATCACTGGCTACACAGAGCTACTTTGTGTAAAAGTAGGGTGATACTTCACTTCCTTTTTTTTTTTTTTTTTTTTTTTAGGATTTTATCCATCCATCAGTTAACCTCGTATGTAGCAAAGTAACCTTTCCCATGTTGCT